TCATCCACTTACTGGACAACTGATTGAAGGACTCTTTTTGATTATCTTGTCTTTGAAGCATATATGAATGGTCCTAGATCTGATTATTTGTGAGAACAAGTGAGGCTATACCAAATATGTACCAAACAAAGGTGTGAAAGCACCGGCTTGTAAATCTATCCAGTTGTTGCCGTCAGCTGAGTGGCTCATTTTTGGTTAAAAGGGATAGATGACTTTGTATAATATCAGATGTATAGAGGAATAATAATGTATTTTACATTTCAGCTTTTTCTTTACTATAAAATTAGCAAGTGCCTGTAATAGTTTTCTTCTTTTTTTTCCTTTTTGGATCACACCCAGTGATGCTCAGGGATTACTCCTGGCTCTGTGCTCAGGAATCATTCCTGGCAGTGCTTGGGGGTCCATAAGGGATGCTGGAGATTGAACCCAGATCGGCTGCATGCAAGGCAAACACCCTACCCCTGTACTATCGCTTCGGCCCCTGTAATAGTTTACTTCCTTGAAAGATAATCACCCATAGACACTATATACATGTATGCATATATGTACTTAGCCAGTGTTTGATTCATAATCATCTGTCTTGATATTTTCTGGTACTGTAAAGCTCTAGTCTCCTTAAAGATTATATATATATATTATTGCAAAACAATATATATTATTTCTAAATCCAGTTCCTGTTTCCATTATTGCTAAGAGGTCCAATTCTTTGTCTTTGTAGTTATTATTATTTTAATTTAAAACCCATGGAGTTTTGGGGCTGAAGCAATAGCACAGTGTGTAGGGCGTTTGCCTTGCACGTGGCCGACCCAGGTTTGATTCCCAGCATCCCATATGGTTCTCCGAGCACCAGCAGGAACAATTCCTTAGTACATGAGCCAGGAGTAGCCCCTGTGTGTTACCTGGTGTGACCCAAAAAGCAAAAAAACAAAAAAACAAACAAAAAACCCCCCCAAAACACCCAAAAAAATCCAATGGAGTTTTTCCCTGAATTTATTGTGTTATTTCCGTATTGTATTTTTCCTAGGCATTATTTCAGCTTTAACTCTAAGCATAGCAGACTTTTTTGGTAATTATGGTGTCAGAGATCAAAAGCATTAGCAGTCAACTATGTGAACCCCCCTATTTTTTTTGCTTTTTGGGGTCACACCCAGAGATGCTCAGGGGTTACTCCTGGCTCATGCACTCAGGAATCACTCCTGGCGGTGCTTGGGAGACCATATGGGATGCTGGGAATCGAACCTGTGTCGGCCACATTGCTTGTATGCAAGGCAAATGCCCTACCCGCTGTGCTATCGCTCCAGCCCCAACCCCCCCTATTTTTAAAGGCAAAATAGGTACAGGTAGGAACTGGATTTTATTGTCTACCTTCCCCAGTCTATCTCAGTTTGAATAGAACTTTCATAATACCTGCGGGCAGTCATTGGTTTCTTCATTTATATTAGTCAGACTACTTCTATTTTGTGTTTGGAATTTGTAATTGCCCTCAGTGGAATTCGATTTGAACTGAGATTTTCCTCCTAATGATTGATGTTTTAATGACATTTTGAGTCTCTTTTCTGTAGATGGTGGAATATGAGACTCTCTAAGATGTGTGTGTAGTAGCAATTTTAATCGCCGAGGTCATGCTTTTCTGTTTTTCTGCTTTTGCTCTCCTTAGTAGACAGACCTTTTGTGGCTTTGCTTATGTCCTATAGCAAGTCAAAGTCGGTTTGTTGTTCAGGTTTAAAAATAAATTTTCATTAGTGGACAGTCTTCTTTCAACATAAATAATTTATATAAGTGTGTTTGGTTATGTTTATGGTTGGGTGGGAGGAGTAAATCTAAATGTTACAGAAGGGAAAATCACTGAAAATTAAATTTGAAAACTCTTGCCTGACCTGTTCTGTAGTGGGCTCGTGGGCTGTCACTGTCACTGTCCTCCCTTTGCTCAGCGGGCTCAGTAACATTGTGAGACTTGTTACTGTGTGTGGCATATCGAATACATCACGGGTAGCTTGCCAGGCTTTAGTGGCAGGTGAGACACTCGGTAGCTTGCTGGGCTCTCCGAGAGGGGCGGAGGAATCGAACTCAGGTCAGCCATGTTGGCTGCGTGCAAGGCAATGCCCTACCTGCTGTGCTATTGCTCGTGGGCTGGTGTTTTGATTATCCATTTGGCTTTACATAGTTTGTGACTGGATGATCTCTTTCTTCTCTTTATCTGTCACACATTTCCTTCTCCTCATGTTGTGCCCCTTCTCTCTGTTCTTATCAGCAGGGTTCAGGACAGATTGCTCAGCGATCTCCTCTTAATGCCAGACTCTTTCCCTACCTTTGCTTGTTGTAGGGGTTCAACATTTTCCATCTGGACAGTATCTTAGGTCTTTGGAACAGGCAGCTGGTTGAGCAAAAAGAACTTTTTTTTTTGTGGTTTGTTTCATTTCTGTCATTGAAACAGAATATCAAAATGCTAGGGAGTTTGTAATGATTATACTATGTTTGTACAACTTTATCACCAATAGCTTCTGCAGTTGTAACAGATGGGGCATGAAAGAGATTTGTTTCGAGTGAATTAATAGCAAAATGAGAGATTAATATGTTCTGTTCAGAATTTATGTTCATGTGCTAAGAAATAAAATCTGTAAAGTAGTTAAACTCCAAAAATTACAGACAAAAATTACATATTGATAATAATTAGGACTGTAATTTTAAGTAGAGAAGAAACTATCCAAATACTTATGACTTTCCTGATACAGCTTTATTTTATTTTACATATTTATTTTTTGCTTATTGGGTCATATCCGGCAATGCACAGGGGTTACTCTTGACTCTGCACTCAGGAATCACTCCTGGCGGTGCTCAGGGGACCATATGGGGTGCTGGGAATCGAACCTGGGTTGGCCGCGTGCAAGGCAAACGGCCTACCCACTGTGCTATTGCTCCAGCCCCTCCTGATACAGTTTTAAAACTTTGATATTACGAAAGATAAACCACTTGGTCTGAACTTTCAATTTTATAGATCTGTTATAAGTAATCCTTCAGTTTTGGTTAAAAAAAATTCTGGTGTTTCTTCTTTGACTCTAACTGAAGTACAAGAAGGTAGGACTCTTACTCCTTTACATTAGTTCACTGTATCTTAACTTTCCTAACTTGCCTCAGTGAGTGGCCTATTTATTTTGAATCAATGCTAATGGATAACCAACAATGCCTAGTTCTGATCTAGATACCAGTTCTCCTGCTATCACTGCCACAAAGTTGCTGCCTCACTTTGTCACTACTTAGCCAAAATGGCTCATTTGTGAAGTTATTTCTGTGGGGTTTGTTTTGAGAACTTGGCTTGCTAATAAATTGGGGTTTCATGCATTCAATTAATAGGTAGTAGAGAAGTTGGTGTAGTACTTTGTAGCCCCTGAGAAAAAATTTATATAATCTAGGAAGATCAATAATGATTCAGTAAGAGAACCAAAGACAAATAGTTGGTTTTTTATCAATACCTTTTATTGGAGAGAAGAAGTTATATCATCAGTTATTTTGGGATTTTTAAAAAATATTTTATGCCAAATAACTTTTAAGAAATATTTTGTTACGGCCAGAAACAAGCGAGACAGATTGTTATATCCTTAGCAGATGTGACATCCCTATTATTTTTTTTTTTAATTATTATGATAACACTTGGAGATTAGGTAGTTGAAGGTAAGGTAAAGGTAAGGTAAAGGCCCTCCCATTGATCGTCGATTTGCTCGAGCGGGCCCAGTAACGTCTCCATTGGAGACTTTGTTGTTACTGTGTCTGGCATATCGAATACTCTCGGTAGCTTGCCGGGCTCTCCGAGAGGGGCGGAGGAATCGAACTCGGGTCGGCCATGTTGGCCGCTTGTAAGGCGAACGCCCTACCCGCTGTGCTATCGCTCCAGCCCAGTTGAAGGTAAGAAGTGATTTTAAATGATTCATCTCATAAGAAGGACTAAGTAAAATGACATGAATTTAATGATAATTTCCATAGAAATAAAGGATGATTACTGGGACTGGGCAGAATTATGAAGTAAGCAACTAGGGTTTTTTTTTTTGCTTCTTTGGGTCACACCCAGCAATGCACAGGAGTTACTCCTTGCAGGAATTACTCCTAGCAGTGCTTGGGGACCATATGGGATGCTGGGAATCGAACCTGGGTCTGCTGTGTGCAAGGCAAATGCCCTACCCGCTGTGCTATTGCTCCAGCCCCTGCAACTAGTTTTTATAGTGACCTTCCATCTCAGCCTTTTTTTTCTCCACTGTCTGGAAAGAGAGTTGTGTATCTTGGTTCTTGTGAAGTAGTCAAGTATCACAGCTGCCTGGGGGGCCAGGGTAGGGGGTGGGGTTGCAGGGAGGGGAAGAGTATCAGTTTACTCCTGTTTACTGGGTCTGTGACCACGGTCAAATTAGTTAATCTCTATGAGACTTTCTTTCTCCCTTCTGAAAACAATACTAGCCACAGATTTACATTCATTTTATTATTAATGTATTCCTTTTTAAACATTTATTTTTAATGTTTGGGCTGATGCTTAACAACGTTATCACTGATACTAGTCATGTCCAGAAAGAGAAAAGTGCACGATGCAATGATGTTAACTTCTGTTAATGCCAACAACCGATCAATCTATAAAATAATTCACAGCATGCTCTGAGGGCATGTGTTCTTCGGTGTTTTTATAAGGCCAATGGTTTTCAACCTTTCGATGAAGTGAGCATTTGTCTATGGTTCAGTGGGTGATTGAAAACTACTGCATTAGAGGAATTTCTTGGTGGAAATTCTAGAAAATACTCATGTAGTCAAAGGACCCCAGAATTCTGTGACGTTCGTAAATAGCTTTTTATAAAACTCTGTTTCCTCAATAAAGCATAGGTTCAAAAAATGACAGAATAACAAAATTCTACTGTTTTCCCTTCTACTTTTCCTTATTAATTTCACACCAATTACTTCTTTTTTTTAAGCAAAGCATGGATTTGATTGCAGTTTGTCATTTTTTGGCTTTGTTTTTGTTCTAGGTAATGGGCCTCACCATGATCGCTGCTGTACTTATGATGAAAACAACTTGGTGGATGGTGTTTATTGTCTTCCAATAGGACACTGGATTGAGGCCAGTGGGCACACCAATGAGAAGCAGCACACAGGAGACTTCTATTTTAAAATTGCAGCCCACCAAGCCATGCATTATTCAAGGTAAAAATAGCATCGTGTTTATAAGCATTGAAGTAGGGCAAGAGTTTGCATTAGGATAATGAAAGTATTTACTGTGTTCAAAACTGCAGTGTCTCCTTTGGGAGGGGTGGATAGGCCCTCCACACTTCGAGGAGATAAATTACAGTGAATCACTATGAGGGTTTTTTTATTCTTTTTTTTTTTTGATTCTAGGAGTGAAGGAGCCTTTTTATAGAATTGTTTCATTAAATACATTCCCTGGCATAAACATATTTTTACCAGGCAGCAATTATCCAGTCTTTGTACTTATATAGTGGATTAAAAATAAAACAGTACTAGAATAGCCTAGATCAGTGTTTGTATTATTCACATTACTGACCAACAATGAAACAAAAATTGGTGTCTCTTGATAAAATTATGTTCAGATAAATTGTGAAAAACCTAACAAAATAAAATTGGATATAATTATTCGCTTTACTTTTATTAATATATTTATTTTTAGTTGGTATTTATTATGCCAGCAGTTTAAACTATAATAAAAATTCAAACATTGGCAAGGATACTTAATGAAGTAAGGCTTGCTACATTCTTTTTCATTCCCACTTATTGACAGTAACTACTTTTTGACACTTGTGGTTACTTTTCTGGAGCCTATATTGAATCTTTCTATTTTTAATTATTTATTTATTTATTTTTTCTTTTTGGGTCACACACGGCGGTGCACAGGAGTTACTCCTGGTTCATGTACTCAGGAATTACTCCTGGCGGTGCTCGGGGGACCATATTGGTTGCTGGGAATCGAACCTAGGTCAGCTGCATGCAAGGCAAATGCCCTACCTGCTGTGCTATTGCTCCAGCCCCTAATATTTTTATTTTTAAAAAACTTTTATTTTTTAGTTGAATCACTGTGAGATAGACCCTTAGAAAGCTGTTCATGATTGGATTTCAGTCATACACTATTCCACCACTCATCCCTCCACCAGTGTACATTTCCCAGCACCAGTGTCCCCAGGTTCCCTCCCATCACTACCCCCCCCAGCCCCTGCCTACCTCTATGTCTGTCTGTCTGTCTATCTGTCTGTCTCTTTCTTCTCTCCCTTTCCTCTCTCTTTGTCTCTCTTTCTCTCTGTCTCTGTCTCACTGTTTTCTCTCTTTCTGTCTCCTAATCTCTGTCTCTCTGTCTTTCTCTCTGTCTCTGTCTCTCTGTCTCTCTGTCTCTCCTTTTGGACATTGTGGTTTTCAATATTGATACTAAAAGCTTATCAAAAATATCCTTTTACCTACATTTAACCTTCAGATCTTGTCCAGTGTGATCATTCCCGGCTATTACTGTCATACTGGTCTCTTCTCTGTCTTACCTATCCTCAGCTCCCCACACACTTGTGGTTAGTTTCAACCACCTAAGTCGAATTTTAAATAATTTGTGAAATTTTTTTGGATGATTGTATCCATTATAAAAGTTTTGGCTTTCCTCTAGGACATGAGAGAATTCAGTTTGCCTGTCTTTGTCCTCTCTCCCCGCCCTTAATCTGTATACATGTAATTTTAAAAAGTCTTTTTAAATGTATTTCAAAAAATGTTTCTTGATCCTTAGGTTTTGACAGTGCTGCTGATTTCTACCTTTCACTTAATCTTCCAACTTTTATTACAAGTTGGTTTTCAAGTTTCGTAGATTACTTTTATTTTATTAAATAGAAACATCTACCAGACCTTGATGGTTTATCCAATATGTAACAGTTAGAATATGGGAATTTACTTAGTATAGAATATGTATTCAGACCAAAGACTTAGAGATGCATGATTGTTTTCTTGAACATGACATTCATTGAGTTAATGATATGATTAATTCAATACGGTCGAAAAAAGGAGAAGAGAGAAAAATCTACCTTTATCTTAATGTTAAGGAAGTAACATTCTTCTTGAAACATCTTTTTATTTATTTTCATTTAAACACTGTGATTTACAGAGTTCTGCATTAGACACTGTCTCAGACATGCAGTGTTCCAAAACCAATTCAACCACCAATGTGACATTCTCTCCACCAACTGGACCACTAAATATATCCACACTAGATGTTGAGAGCATGAGGGAAATAGAAGTTAAGCACATTTTGTGATGGTCTGTGCTGCTATATTAATGTGTACTGAGGTGGGCAAGAGTTGGAGATGAGCAGTTGGGGGTAAGAGTTGAAATTAAAATTCTGTTTTTGACATACTCCATTTGGAAAGTATGCTAGCTTGCAGAAAAAAAAACAATTTGACATGTGTGGAATTTTGGTGAGAGGTTGAAAATGGAGATTTTTTTAACATATGCTTTCAGTTATTTTGGTCTAATTTCTTTATAAGTTCATTCTCAATTGAAACAGGGTAAGATAAAGTTATTAATTCAGTTTAAAGGAAAATCATTGAAAAGAAACTAGTCTCTTTAATTATTAAATTGAAATCATCTAATTGCTCCCTGCTTGCTAGATTCATCTATATGTAAGCTATGGTAATGAATGAATACATCTTTGCTGAATTAGTTTCAACAGATGATAAGGTCATATGTTTAAATATATATATATAGCAATACAGATATCAAACTCACCTAAAATTTTGTAGTCACAAATTTTCACTTTTTGGTTTAAATACAGAAATGGAATTATGATAGGAACATCTTTTTAGAGTGAGAGTAGTAATATCAGAATTAAGTTCCCAGTAAGTGACCTGAGTAATGACTTTCAAGAATATAACTACGTGTACTATTCAATGTTAGATAATAAGATTAGATTTTCATTAAGAATTGTATGGAGGACAGAGACAGTTCAGAGATGTAGGTGTTGACCTAGCATGCAATTGCGGCTGTGATCCTGCTCCAGATCTTGGCATTGCATACGATCCCCCCTCCCCCCAACTCCCATCCCTGCATGACTAGGCATGGTTCCTGAACATAGAGCCAGGTGTGATCCCTGAGGACCGAGTGTGGCCCCTGAGCACTGTCAGTAATTCCCCACACCCCCCAAAAAATGATCTGAAGAGATTATAAGGCTAAGGCAGTACCTTGCAAGAGGCCAGTCCTGGGTTTGATTCCCTGCATCTCATTTGGTTCCCCAAGGACTGCCTGAGCACAGAGCCAGGAGTAAGCCCTGAGCACAGCTGGGTGTGCTCCCTCCAAATCAAATGTAGAAAGTTGTGTTTATTGTTGGAAAATCAGACATAGAGACATCATGATCCCTGCCAAGAGGGACTCATGCCCTGTAAATGTAGTGAGAGGATTGCTCAAATGAGGCCACACAGACAGTGTGATAATGACACAGTGTTTAGTTCAGGTAAACATAAAGAGTAGAAACATGAAGGGTGTTTGTCGTCCTGTTGTTCCCCCCCTTACCTACCCCCACACAGGAAGCCAAGACTTATGAGAGGGAGACTCCTAGTATATATGAATTGGGGGCATGAGAGAGTATCAGGCTATGAGTAAACGAAGGTAACTTAATGGTTATCCTGCACAGTCACGGTCACGGTCACGGTCCTCCCGTTGTTTATCGATTTGCTCGAGCATGCCCAGTAACGTCTCACAACAAATTGTGGGACTTTGTTGTTACTGTGTTTGGCATATTGAATACGTCACGGGTAGCTTGTCAGGCTTTGCCATGTGGGCGAGATACTCTCAGTAGCTAGCCAGGCTCTCCAAGAGGGGCGGAGGAATCGAACTCGCGTCGGCCATGTTGGCTGCATGCAAGGCAAATGCCCTGCCTGCCTTGCTATCGCTCCAGCCCTTATCCTGCACACAGGGTATAAAGTCGAACTGTCTGGGCACACTAGAACAGAGGGTGACCCACAGGGCACGTCACATGGATGAGAGCATTGCAGGGCTGCTCTCTGTGGAACCCAGCAATCCTCTGCTCCAGGGGCGGGCTGTTGATCCCCTTTGTGGAAATGCATGACCGTGTGTGGGGGATTATTACTACATTTGGTTTTGAGTTTTAGACAAAGTATATAGGTGCACCTATATACTAGTAGGTCTACAAATTTCTTTTTCGGGAGAGTGGGCCACAGTCAATGATGCTCAGGGCTTGGTCCTGCTGGCTCAGCACTCAGGGGATCACTCCTGGCAGGCTCAGGAGACCATATGGGATGCCAGGGATTGAACCCAGGTTGGTCACATGCAAAGCAAACACCCAACCCACTGCACAATCTCTGCAGTCCCAAAGAAAGTAGTTTGCAGGATCCTCCTCCTCCTTCACCACTTTGATATTTCCACAGGCCGAAATTTTCACTTTTTTTTTTCCACATCCACTGGTGCTCAGGGCTTACTCCTGGCACTATGCTCAGGGATTACTTTAGGTGGTGTTCAATGAACCATGTGGAATGCCAAGGATCGAACCTGGGTCAGGTATGTGGAAGGCAAATCCCTATCTGCTGTTTTATTATATATTCCAGCCCTTATTTTCTTTTTCTTTCTTTCTTTCTTTCTTTCTTTCTTTCTTTCTTTCTTTCTTTCTTTCTTCTTTCCTTTCTTTCTTTCTTTCTTTCTTTCTTTTTCTTATCTAGGATGTTAAAATACTATTTATTAAGTAACATCTTAATAGGACATCTGGAAATCAGGAAGCCCTAAGTATGACAATATATAAATCATCATAGACCAAAATATGTGATATACAGATAAAGTCAATTATAGCTGTACATTATAGCTACACATATACACACACACATCACTGTATCACTGTCATCCCATTGTTCATTGATTTACTCAAGTGGGTGCCAGTAACAGCTCCATTCGTCCCAGCCCTGAGATTTTAGCTGCCTCTCCTTACTCGTCCTTCCCAACAGTGCCGTATTGGAGGCTCTTTCAGGGTCAGGGGAATGAGACTCGTTATTGTTACTGTATTTGGCATATCGAATATGCCATGGGGAGCTTGCCAGGCGTGTGTGTGTGTGTGTGTGTATTCTTTATATATAAAATTATAATTAGAAACACATGAAATAGTAGAAAACAAACCAGTAGAAAACACGTTGTAACAATAAGCTCCAAATCAAAGAGCA